CTGGATCTTTTTGAATGTTTTCTGGTCGCGTTTAAAAACCAACAGTAGGTGTCGAAAGTGAGGCTCCTTTTCCATACATTCAAGCTCAAAACTCTGGACAACTTACGAAATAAAATGTATCCAAGAAGTACTGACCGTCGCCCTGTAGCAACAAAAACTTTCAAATTATACGTACAGCACTTGGTCAAAATTTGGGAACTCTTGTAACAACCTATTATTTTAATTTAACTTTCTTTTCGTTCTTGCATCCTTTTTTCTCTTACACTAATACTTTGTATATTGCCCTACTTATCTTTATTTTTAGAGACTTGATGAAACTTTATTTGAAGCAGCTGTGTGAGCTTTGAACTATAAATGTGGGTATTATAGAATTGAGAACTCATTTGTAGATAACAACGTCACATGTTTTTCACCACATTGAACGGCGTTCCTTTCCAGTCAGTATAACCACAATGACTTCTCAGTTGATGAGGACAGGCGTACCCGTGCAACAAATGGCACCACAGCCGATACTTCCAGCGGATCAGGATGTAATCATTCGCACTTTGAACGATGTTAATCAAGGTGACGAAAGTAAACTGAAAGCAGTGCAGGTAAGTAAGGCATTGAAATTGTATAATCCAGAGTGATAATTTAACTCAGGACGCCTGGAATATGTTCGAAGTATTTAATACGACTCCCACATTTGACCAGTTTTTGGACAGCTTAATGCGAGCTTTTATGAAATTATTCAGTGAGACTGTACCTCAGTTCATTCAAGAGAACAACACTCAAGTATGTCCGCGGATTTTCTTCATATTCTTAATGCATATTTTACACTTGTTTGCCATTTCTTCTTTATTATGTACGTGCTTATGCTCATTTTTGCTTGTGGAAATGCTTTTACTTTGTCTTAAGCTAGTTCTTCTTTCTCTCTGAACGGATTTCTTCTAAGAGCCTCGACATATCTTTGGGTCAATAATTTATCCACATGCCTTTATAGAAAAAAAACACTCCAATCTTTTGTAATATTTCTGGTTTTATGAAGTTCGCGAGGAACTCTACTTTTTTCCTTTTCTTCAAGCGAATCTCCCGTACTTTCGGACTGCCAACTGCTTTCCTTAAAGAGCAGGAAATGGTCTTGAAGTGTTAAGAAAACAAATTACTCGAATTGTTGATCTTGTCTTTTATTTCAAATTAAGAATTTTGTATTTAAGGAAAGAGAGT